TTTTGATATATTTACGGTAATAAATTTACAAAATATCTTCATGGAACATGATCTTTACTTAATATCCTAATGATTTTTGGCATAAAAGAAAAATGTATAATTTTGACCCATACAATGTATTGTTGGCTATTGCTACAAATATACCCCAGCGACTTAACACTGCTTTCGTGCTCCAGGGTCACAAATATGTAACTATATAGTTATATCATTTATAATGTAAGGTAACAGATTTAGGATGATTTGGGAATATTGTGTTGAAATGTTTCTGAAACGTCGAAATATCCAGTTTTCTTTTCGTGATTAGAGTGTTATTTAAAGGTCACAAAAACGTTTCGTTCTACTTTGTTTTCACCGAAAATATAATGTTATTTAAACGTTTATTTGTCATATTCTAAGAACATTAAAATGTCCAGTTTTCTTGTCACAATTAGCACATTATTTAAAGGTTACAAAACCGTTTCATTCTACTTTATTTTACACAAAATATGACGTTATTTGAACGTTTATTTGCCATATTTTAAGAGAAGTTAAAATGTAGCTTTCTCGTCATGATTTGAACGTTACTTAAATGTTACAAAAACGTTTCTTAAACATTCCACTTTTTTTATTTTTCCCAAAATATAATGTTGCTTGAATATTTATTTTTTTTTATATTCTAAGAACATTAAAATGTCCGGTTTTTATTGTTAAGATTACAAAACATTTCTTAAACGTTCTAATTTTATTTTACCCAAATCATAACTTTATTTAAAAGTTTATTTGTAATTTTCTAAGATCATTAAAATGTCCAGTTTTCTTGTCGTGATTAGAATGTTATTTAAAGGTTACAAAAATTTTTCTTTCAACATTCTACTTTCTTTATTTTGCTCCAAAAACCTAACATTATTTAAACGTTTACTTTTAATATTCTAAGAACATTGATAAAGCGTTTCTTAAACGTTCTGCTGATTTTATTTTTAGCCAAAATGTAACGTTATTTGAATATTTATTTTTAATATTCTAAAGTTTTGATATATTTACGGTAATAAATTTACAAAATATCTTCATGGAACATGATCTTTACTTAATATCCTAATGATTTTTGGCATAAAAGAAAAATGTATAATTTTGACCCATACAATGTATTGTTGGCTATTGCTACAAATATACCCCAGCGACTTAACACTGCTTTCGTGCTCCAGGGTCACAAATATGTAACTATATAGTTATATCATTTATAATGTAAGGTAACAGATTTAGGATGATTTGGGAATATTGTGTTGAAATGTTTCTGAAACGTCGAAATATCCAGTTTTCTTTTCGTGATTAGAGTGTTATTTAAAGGTCACAAAAACGTTTCGTTCTACTTTGTTTTCACCGAAAATATAATGTTATTTAAACGTTTATTTGTCATATTCTAAGAACATTAAAATGTCCAGTTTTCTTGTCACAATTAGCACATTATTTAAAGGTTACAAAACCGTTTCATTCTACTTTATTTTACACAAAATATGACGTTATTTGAACGTTTATTTGCCATATTTTAAGAGAAGTTAAAATGTAGCTTTCTCGTCATGATTTGACGTTACTTAAATGTTACAAAAACGTTTCTTAAACATTCCACTTTTTTTTATTTTTCCCAAAATATAATGTTGCTTGAATGTTTATTTTTTTTAATATTCTAAGAACATTAAAATGTCCGGTTTTTATTGTTAAGATTACAAAACATTTCTTAAACGTTCTAATTTTATTTTACCCAAATCATAACTTTATTTAAAAGTTTATTTGTAATTTTCTAAGATCATTAAAATGTCCAGTTTTCTTGTCGTGATTAGAATGTTATTTAAAGGTTACAAAAATTTTTCTTTCAACATTCTACTTTCTTTATTTTGCTCCAAAAACCTAACATTATTTAAACGTTTACTTTTAATATTCTAAGAACATTGATAAAGCGTTTCTTAAACGTTCTGCTGATTTTATTTTTAGCCAAAATGTAACGTTATTTGAATATTTATTTTTAATATTCTAATAATGTTTTTTCAGTACAAATAACGTCATAAGGACGTTCCGAGAAAGTTGTTCTGAAAACATTTTGACAAACGTTATAAATATTAATGAAAATATTAATGAAATGAATATGTAAATATCTATCTGTGAATGCTGACACCTTCATTGAGATTCTATTTAAATACAAGCAAAAAAATACAAAAACCTAATTTATCTGAGATCAAAACATAGTAAAGAACAGCAGTAATTTATGTAATATTTTGCAAGAAACGACTGGAAAAGCTACAGCTTTTTCATCTTTTTAAGATCATTTTTTAATGCCATTTTAACCCTTTAAGGCATGGCGACATGTAACTAATTTAGAATTATTAATTCCATATCATTAGACGTGGAATTATGATGCTCTTGTTTTGAAGTTTTCAAAAACCCAAACATTAAGATCAATAAGAACTTAAATAAAACTAAAATTACTAAAGCTAAAACGGAAATAAATAAATTAAAGCTAAATACAAATATTTAAAACGTAAAAAGATTTTAATTCAAATATTAAAATACAAAAAAAAGCTGTTTAAAAAAAAATATTTTTATTATAAGAGTATATAAATAATATTAACATTACACCAATTAATATAAATATATATTTTAATAAAAATAAATAATATCACAGGGTAAATGAAAAATGTAGTTGCACTGTTGCTACTTTTATTTAGTAATTCAAAAATGCTGATTGATTACAACACATGAACTTTACTCCAGATTTTTCAGAGATGTAATTAATCAGAAATAAACAGCATTTTTTGACTGATTTTTGAATCTCAGATTCAAATTTTTTTTTCATTCTTCCAGATAATTTCTTCAAAGTGGAGGGAGCCAAGGATGCCTTAATATGTGGGAACGCAAGTGATGCTGGGTGAGTTTAATGCGCTTTATGACTGGATTGTGGTACACAATTTTGGCGAATTGGTAGCTACGATCATATTCTGGGCTCGTCTATAGGATGCATATTCAATGAGCTGTATCCTGAATTTGACTGTCTAAATACATTAAGCATTTATTTAGTACATTCTCGCTGTTTTTAGTGATTGAAAAACTCCAGCAGGTATTGTATATGGATTGCAGGAGCTCAAAAGTTGCTTGTTCTCACATCTTTGATACAATTCTTCTGATGGTTGTGTGGTTTGAAACGTGGAAAATTCTGACTGAAAATTCTGAATAGAATGTGTGGTCGTTACTGTATTTTACCTTCAAATGTGGCTCATCCAATCAGAATTTAGGGGCGGAGTTATGCATGCTATAAAAGGTAATGACTTCTACATTTGGAGGCCGTTCATGTGCTGCAGCTGCTGTAAGAGCAGTGTGTGTCTGATTCAGCAGAGCTGCATGTACTGTATGAGTCAGTGGCCTTGACTAACTCACAGCAACAAGACAGATGCCAATCAAGCCCTCGAATCGAGAGGAACGTGTCTGCATGAACTGCTGTGAACTGCACATCTCCGAGTCTTTCATTATATTAAGACAAACAAAAAAAATTTATTTATCAGTTTTTTTATCAGTACTATAATGGATAACACCATCTGTTTTAATCTAATGGAGTTCAGTAAACAAGACAGTTAACAAACAAGACAAGTCAATAAAAAAAAAAAAAATGTTAATAAAAAAAAAATATATATTAATTGCATTTTTTCTACCAGGAATTAATTAGATAATAAATAAATAAATAAATGCATTTTATCTACCAGAAACTAACTGGATAAATAAATAAATAAATAATTGCATTTTATCTACCAGAAACTAATTGGATATAAATAATTAAATAAATAAATAAATAAATAAATACATTTTATCTACCAGAAACTAACTGGATAAATAAATAAATAAATAATTGCATTTTATCTACCAGAAACTAATTGGATATAAATAATTAAATAAATAAATAAATAAATAAATACATTTTATCTACCAGAAACTAACTGGATAAATAAATAAATAAATAATTGCATTTTATCTACCAGAAACTAATTGGATATAAATAATTAAATAAATAAATAAATAAATAAATACATTTTATCTACCAGAAACTAACTGGATAAATAAATAAATAAACAAATAAATAAAAAATACCAGGATGGATTCATTTAATCAACGGGATTATTATAGTAAAATTAAAACTAAAACCATAAAAATTACTTGTTACTTGAAAAAAAAAAATTCTGATAAAATAAAGTAAAAAAATATATAAATAAATATATAAATCAATCAATAAATTAATAAATTAATTATAGAATAAAATAAAAAATTTAAAAATTAAACTTATTTTATTTCAGCTAGTTTCCAAGGCAACATTTATCATTTTCATTTAGTTTAACTTGATGTACTAAAATAACTTAAACTAAAACTGGAAAAAAAAAACATATAGACATATTAAAATAAAACACAAAAACTAATAAAAATGACAAAAACACAACAACATTTTAAAGACTTTGACTAAAATTAAAACGACAACAAAAATAAAAATCTATTAAAAACATTAATAAAAAATATAATAGTATCTAAAAATAACTACTAAAATAATACAACTAAAATACTAAAATAGTTGGTTTAAACTTTGTTTCTGAAATGACAAATAATACAGATTATTATATTAATAGCTATACAAATAATAACATGCTTTTCTAATAACTTACGACTAAAAAGACAAAAGGTGTTTTTCTCTGGGAATAACGTGTATTTATGAATCATGTACCGTAAGAGAAACGTAAGTTTTAAAGGGGTCATATGATGCTGCTAAAAAGAACATTATTTTGTGTA